CCGATCCCTCCTCACAGATGGCCATCCAGCCATATAATTTAGATATATGAATGATAGATGTGCCATAGAACCCTACAGGCCGTCAATCCCTGAAAGGGACCCCTAAGGGTCATCTAGTCCAATCCCGTTCTGGAGAAGACACCATCCGATCCCTCCCGACAGATGGCCATCTAGCCATATAATTTAGATATATGAATGATAGATGTGCCATAGAACCCTACAGGCCATCAATCCCTGAAAGGGACTCCTAAGGATCATCTAGTCCAACCCCATTCTTCCATTTGAGAAGACACCATCTGATCCCTCCCAACAGATGGCTATCTATCTATCTATCTATCTATCTATCTATCTATCTTCCTATCTATCTATCATCTGTCTGTCTGTCTGTCCGGTCCATCCATCCATCTCTCTATCTGTATGTCTATCTCTATCTATCTATCTATCTATCTATCTATCTATCTATCTCTATCTCTCTATCACTATATCTATCTCTCTATCTCTCTATCTCTATCTCTCTATCACTATCACTATCTCTCTATCTCTCTATCTATCTCTATCTCTCTCTCTCTCTCTATCTCTCTACCTCTACCTCTATCTCTCTCTATCTCTATCTCTCTATCACTATATATATATATATATATATATATATATATCCCTATCTCTCTCTCTCTATCTCTCTATCTCCCTATCTCTCTATCTCTCTCTCTCTCCCCCTCTCCCTCTCCCTATCCCTCTCTCCCCCCCTCTCTCTATCCCTATCACTATCCCTATCTCTCTCTCTCTCTCTATCTATCATCTCTCTCTCTCTCTATCCCTCTCCCTCTCCCTCTCCCTCTCCCTCTCCCTATCTCTATCTTTCTCCCTATCCCTATCTCTATCTCTATCCCTATCTCTCTATCTATCTCTATATCTCTCTATCTCTATCTATCATATCTCTCTCTCTCTATCTCTCTATCTCTCTATCTCTATCTCTATCTCGATCACTATCTCTCTCTCTCTCTCTCTCTATCTCTCTATCTCTCTATCTCTATCTCTATCTCTACCTCTATCTCTATCTCTATCTCTCTCTCTATCTCTCTATCTCTATCTCTATCTCTAATCTCTATCTCTATCTCTATCTCTATCTCTATCTCTCTATCTCTCTATCTCTATCTCTATCTCTATCTCTATCTCTATCTCTATCTCTCTCTCTATCTCTCTATCTCTCTATCTCTATCTCTATCTCTATCTCTCTATCTCTCTATCTCTATCTCTATCTCTATCTCTATCTATATCTCTATCTCTCTCTCTCTATCTCTCTATCTCTCTATCTCTCTATCTATCTCTATCTCTCTCTATCTCTCTATCTCTCTATCTCTATCTCTATCTCTATCTCTATCTCTATCTCTATCTCTCTATCTCTATCTCTACCTCTATCTCTATCTCTATCTCTATCTCTATCTCTCTCTCTATCTCTCTATCTCTCTCTCTATCTCTATCTCTATCTCTATCTCTATCTCTCTATCTCTCTATCTCTATCTCTATCTCTATCTCTATCTCTATCTCTATCTCTATCTCTCTATCTCTCTATCTCTATCTCTTCTATCTCTCTCTCTCTCTCTCTCTATCTCTATCTCTCTATCTCTATCTCTATCTCTATCTCTATCTCTATCTCTATCTCTCTATCTCTCTATCACTATCTCTATCTCTACCTCTATCTCTACTCTATCTCTATCACTATCTCTCTTTCTATATAGATCTCTATCTATTTATCTGTTTTTCTCTCTATCTCTCTATCTATATCTCTCTCTTTCTCTATCTCTCTATCTCTCTATCTCTATCTCTCTATCACTATCTCTCTCTCTCTCTCTCTATCTATCTATCTATCTCCATCTCTACTATATATATATATATATATATATATATATATATATATATCCCCCCTCTCTCCATCCATCTACCTATCTATCAATCTATCTATCTATCTATCTATCTATCTATCTATCTATCTATCTATCTCTTCCTATCTATCATCCTTCCTTTCTGTCTTCTTCCCTCCTCCCTCCCTCCCTTTGTACCTTTATATCTATCTATTCTCTATCTATCTGTCTGTGTCTGTCTGTCTATCGTTCTTACTTCCCTTTCTCTATCTATCTATCTATCTATCTATCTATCTATCTATTCATCTATCTATCTATCTATCTATCTATCTATCTATCTATCTATCTATCTATCTTCCTATCTATCTATCTATCTATCTATCTATCTATCTATCTATCTATCTTCCTATCTATCTGTCTGTCTATCTATCTATCTAGTATCTATCTATCTATCTATCTCTATCTATCTATCTTCCTATCTGTCTGTCTGTCTGTCATCTATATATCTATCTAGTCTCTATCTATCTATCTATCTATCTATCTATCTATCTATCTTCCTATCTATCTGTCTATCTGTCTATCTATCTATCTATCTATCATCTTCCTATCTATCTGTCTATCTATCTATCTATCTAGTCTCATCTATCTATCTATCTATCTATCTATCTATCTAGTCTCATCTATCTATCTATCTATCTATCTATCTATCTATCTATCTATCTATCTATCTATCTATTATCTATCTATCTATCTATCTATCTATCTATCTATCTACCTACCTTTTTATCCATCCATCCATCCATCCATCCATCCTTCGATCTCTCTCTCTCTCTCTCTATCTATCTATCTATCTATCTATCTTTCTACCTATCTACCTACCTATCTATCTATCTATCTATCTATCTATGTATCTCTATCTATGTCTCTATCTATCTATCTATCTATCTCTCAAGGTTTGGACTGGATGGCCCTTCCAACTCTTGGTCCACTTCCCTTCCTTCCGCAGGTGAGCTACGAGGCCACCAGCCCAACGCTGAGCCAGAAGCGGGACTTCCCTTCCTTCCTGCGGACAGTGCCCAGTGACCGGCTGCAGGTTTGGAGGCTGAGTGACCATCTGTTGGGGGGGCTTTGATTGTGTTTTTCAAGCATGAAGGCAATGGGTTGCCCTTCTGACTCTTCTCTCTATGATTCCAGGTGGACACTCTGGTGTTGATGTTGGTGGCCTTTGGCTGGACCTGGGTGGCGCTGGTGGGCAGCGACAACAACTACGGCCGGCAGGGTCTGCAGATGCTGCAAGAGGCGGCTCCGCCTTCCGGCTTATGCTTCGCGTACCAGGGCTTGCTCCCAGCGAACGATGAGGACACCCAATTGGCCCGTATTGTCCGGGACGTGGCGTCCTGCGGAGCCAACGTGGTCGTCCTCTTCGCCAACAAGAACAGCGTCCAGTCCTTTATGGAGGAAGCCGTCCGGCAAAACGTCACGGGAAAAGTCTGGGTGGGCACCGAGGACTGGTCGCTGTCCACCGAAGTCTGGTCGGTGGACGGCGTCTCGGCCATCGGGACGGTGGTTGGGGTCTCCGTCAAGCAGGCCCACCTTCCAGGGATGGAGGCCTTCGAAGCCACCTTCGTGGCATCGGAAATGGACGACGCCTGGCCCGTGGGGTGTAACGCGACGAACGAGGGAATGTGCAGCCAGGTGTGTTCGCGCCTCCGCCGTCCGAAGTCGCTGACCGCGTGGGAGCAGTCGCCACACGACATGCAAGGGGCGTTCAGCGTCTACTCGGCCGTCTACGCAGTCGCCCACGGCCTGCACCGCGTGCTGGGATGCCATACGGGGTCGTGTCAGAAAGGGACCGTCTATCCCTGGCAGGTGAGTATTGTCATCATCATCATCATCATCATCATCATCATCATCATCATCATCGACACAAAAGCACGGTATGTCACAGCAAACGAGATCTCTATGCTGGATTTCGTATCACAAAACCGCAAGTCGAACACTTCCCAAGCATCTAGGAATGTGTGATGTATTTTCGAATGATCTATCTATCTTCCTATTTATCTTCCTATCTATCATCTATCTATCTATCTATCTATCTATCTATCTATCTTCCTATCTTCCTATATCTATCTGTTTATCTATCTGTTTATCTATCTATCTTCCTATATATCGATCTTTCTATGAATCTATCTATCTATCTATCTATCTATCCATCCATCCATCTACCTATCTATCTTCCTATGAATCTATCTATCTATCTATCTATCATCTATCTATCTATCTATCTATCTATCTATCCATCCATCCATCCATCTACCTATCTATCTTCCTATGAATCTATCTATCTATCATCTATCATATATCTATCCATCCATCTATCCATCTTTCTATCCATCTATCTTCCTATCTATCTTGCTATCTATCTATCTATCTATCTATCTATCTATCTATCTATCGAACACTTCCCAAGCGTCTAGGACTGTGTGATGTATTTTCGAATTATCTATCTATCTATCTATCTTCCTATATATCTATCATATATCTATCCATTCATCCATCTACCTATCTATCTTCCCATGAATCTATCTATCTATCTATCTATCTATCTATCTATCTACCTACCTACCTACCTATCTTCCTATATATCTATCATATATCTATCCATCCATCCATTTATCCATCTGTCTATCCATCTATCTTCCTATCTATCTTCCTATCTATCTATCCATCCATCTATCCATCTATCTTCCTATGAATCTATCTATCTATCTATCTATCTATCTATCTATCTATCTATCTATCATATATCTATCCATCCATCTTTCTATCCATCTATCTATCCATCTATCTTCCTATCTATCTATCTATCTTCCTATCTATCTATCTTCCTGACCGTATGAGCTGTTCAACAGTGGAACTCTCCGCCTCGGAGTTTGGTGGAGGCTCCTTCCTTGGAAACTTTTAAACAGAGGCTGGATGGCCATCTGTCAGGGATACTTTGATTGTGCTTTCCTGCATGGTAGGAAATGGCAGGGAGAAGGTTTGAGGGAAAGAGACAAAGAGAGTTCCTGAGGTCTGAAAAAGCACGGTTTATTCTCGGTTGGCACCATCCGGATGTGGACCCTGCTGGTAGTCCGTAGGGCTGGGCGGTTTCGTTTCGTTAATTCGTAATTTGTTAATAATTCGTTATTTTTTCAATTACAAAACGATAACGAACCATTCTGGAGCAATTATTAAAAAAAACGAATTTTCAAAAACGTTTTGTAAATGCTTCGTTTCGATATTGTATTCGTTTCGTTATTGTTTTGAGGTCGTTTCGTTATTATTTCCGCATGTCTGGGCCAGTTTTATGTTTAATTAGTGAAAAAAAAATTATAATATCACACCAACAGTCAACAACAGAGGGAGAGGGAAGCTTCAGAAGTTTTTGGAGGTTTTTTAGCGTATTTCGCGGTCGCGTCCGCCATTAACGAATCGATTCGTTATTGTTTCGGAAATCGATTCGTTAATTTTTTATTTACGAAATTTCGTAAATATCGAACTTTTTAAAAGGAAAATTTTGTAATTATTTTAAATATCGAAACAAAAAAAACCCCCAAATACAAATCGATTTTAGAAACAAATTTTTCCGTTGTTACCCAGGCCTAGTAGTCCAGGAAAAACAGGTTACATAACAAAGAAAAGGCTTGGTTTATATACCCTTTAAAATAATATGCATGCATCATACAGGCATCACAATGTGCGTCACAAAATTCTACTTTTACATTGACTTCAATGGCATATTTTAACTTCAACACCTGTCAGTCTTCATTCTGAGCATCCTTATCTGAGGAGGTGCTATTAATGAGGACCATCGCCAGAATGTCTACTAGACCCAATAGCAAGAGCTTCCATCCATCTTGAGATAAGTTCTTCCTGAAGCCTTTTGATGGCCAGTATTTATACATGGCTATCATATCTCCTCTCAGCCGTCTCTTCTTCAGGCTAAACATGCCCAGCTCCTTAAGCCGTTTTGGTCCATCTCTCTAATCTGTCAAGATCGTTTTGAATTCTCCTCCTGTCCTCTGGAGTATTGGCTATCCCTTCCACTCCATCTTGCTGAGGTTGACGATGACTTTCTTTTTGTGAGAAGACCAAGGGAAAGTAGTTCTGCCTTTTCCCTATCCCCTGTCAGCATTGCCCCATCTTCTCCTCGAAGAGGCCCTATCGCCTCCTTGTTTTTCCTTTTTCTACTGACATAAGAAAAGAATCCCTTTTTATTGTTTTTAATGTCCCTGGCAAGCCTGAGCTCGTTTTGTGCTTTAGCCTTGCGGACCTTTTCCCTACAGGTGTTGGCTATTTGTTTGAATTCTTCTTTGGTGATTTCTCCCTTTTTCCGCTTCTTGTGCATGCCAGACCCGATAGCAAGAGCTTCCATCCATCTTGAGATAAGTTCTTCCTGAAGCCTCTTGATGGCCAGCTCATTAATCTTATGATAAGCTTCACCTGGTACTAAAATGGAAGGAGTCTCCTGAGATATGCCAGAGGCCTCTAGACATTCCTTTCTTTAGACCCTGGCCTCTCTTGAGACATCTAATTTTTGCAGCTTTTAAGAAGCCAAGTGAAGTGAAGGTCATGCATACATACATTGTGATTTCATAAATTTTCTGACTCCTATTTCCAATATGTGTATTATGTATTTTCCTCATGCCTTCATCAGTAGGAGGTTGGACTAGATGACCCATGTGGTCTCTTCCAATTCTATTATTCTACATTCTATGATTCTATGATTCTTCAGCCTTGTCAGGCCTTAACAGGCCCTAGCCAATACAATGCAATTTCATTCCATCCATTCATCACACCCTTGGCTTTCGGCATCTGTTCCTCTCTCTCTTCCGCAGCTCCTGAGGGAAGTCAAGGAGGTGGACTTCAACCTCTCCAACCGACAGGTCCATTTCGATGAGAACGGGGACACTGCGGCCGGCTACGACTTGGTCCAGTGGGTCTGGGAGGGCCGAGAGTGGGACTACCGGGTCATCGGGTCCTTCAAGCAGCCGGACAGCCTGAACCTTGACCGGGAGAGGATCCGGTGGCACACGCAAGACAACCAGGTGAGAAAGAGTGCTTTGGTGGGGGGGGGTGTCAAAGGAAAGGTCAAGGCCAGCGATCTTTAGATGCAATATTCCTGCTTCTTGGCAGAATGGGGTTGGACTGGATGGCCCATGAGGTCTCTTCCAACTCTTTGATTCTAGGATTCTATGATTCTATGATATATTTTCTGTTCGTCGTGGGAGTTCAGTGTGCCATATTTGGTTCAATTCCATCATTGGTGGAGTTCAGAATGCTTTTTGATTGTAGGTGAACTATACATCCCAGTAACTACAACTCGCATATGTCAAGGTCTATTTTCCCCCAAGAGCTCCTCAAGAGCACCCCTGGGCAACATCAAATCTACCGCGATGGCTTACTTTGCGTAATGGCTTCGCCGCCCCTGGGGATGCAAGCCAATTTCATCATTGGTGGAGTTCAGAATGCTCTCTGATTGTAGGTGAACTATACATCCCAGTAACTACAACTCCCATATGTCAAAAGTCTATTTTCCCCTAGAGAGCCTCAAGAGCACCCCTGGGCAACATCAAATCTACCGCAATGGCTTACTTTGCGTAATGGCTTCGCCGCCCCTGGGGATGGAAGCTAATTCCATCATTGGTGGAGTTCAGAATGCTCTCTGATTGTAGGCGAACTATACATCCCAGTAACTACAACTCGCCTATGTCAAGGTCTATTTTCCCCCAAGAGTGCCTCAAGAGCACCCCTGGGCAACATCAGCTCTACCGCGACTGCTTACTTTGCGTAATGGTTGAGCCGCCCCTGTGTAGAGCTTGTCGTTGTTGTACTTGGTTATTTACATGACCTGTCATTCCGACTTGCTCGGCATTCACTCCGCAGACATTCGATTACATCCATACACTCCACCTTCTTCATTCAGACTCCACGGTGCTGAACAACTTCAGACCAATCTCCAACCTTCCTTTTCTGGGCAAGGTGCTGGAGCGGGTGGTCGCCTCCCATCTCCAGGGCTTTTTGGATGACATCAACTACCTAGATCAGTCACAGTCTGGCTTCAGGCCTGGCCACGGCACCGAGATGGTCTTGGTCGCCTTGGTGGATGACCTCTGACAGGGGGAGTGTGACCCTGTTGGTCCTCTTGGACATCTCAGTGGCTTTCGATACCATAAATCATGGTATCCTTCTGGGACGACTCTCCAAGAGGCTTTCTATACCATCAATCATGGTATCCTTCTGGGTTGACTCTCCGAGATGGGTCTCGGGGGTACGGTTTTGTCGTGGCTCCGGTCCTTCCTGGAGGGTCGGTCCCAGATGGTGAAGCTGGGAGACGCCTGCTCGGACCCCTGGCCTTTGACCTGTGGGGTCCCGCAAGGCTCTATTCTGTCTCCCATGCTTTTCAACATCTACATGAAACCGCTGGGAGAGGTCATCCGGAGTTTTGGAGTTGGGTGCCACCTCTATGCAGATGACACACAACTCTACTACTCTTTTCCACCTAATTCCAAGGAGGCCTCTCGAGTGCTGGACGAGTGCCTGGCCGCTGTGTCTATCTGGATGAGGAAGAACAGGCTGAAGATCAATCCCGACAAGACAGAGGTCCTTCTGGTCGATCGTAAACCTGACCGGGGTATAGGGTGGCAACCTGTGCTGGACGGGGTTACACTCCCCCTGAAGCCACAGGTCCGCAGTTTGGGAGTCCTCTTGGATTCATCACTTACGCTTGAGGCTCAGGCGTCGGCGGTGTCTGGGAGTGCGCAACTGAGACTTGTGCACCAACTGCGACCATACCTCGTGAAGGCTGATCTGGCCGGGGTGGTCCATGCCTTGGTCACCTCCAAATTGGACTACTGTAATGCGCTCTACGTGGGGCTGCCCTTGAAAACGGGCTCGGAAATTCCAACTTGTCCAACGGTCGGCGGCCAGGTTGTTAACTGGTGCTACTTACAGAGAGAGGTCAACCCTCCTGTTCAAGGAGCTCCATTGGCTGCCATTCATTGTCCGGTTCAATTCAAGGTGCAGGTGCTTACCTACAAAGCCCTGAACGGTTTGGGACCTGCCTACCTGCGTGACCGCATCTCCATTTACGAACCCACCCGCTCCCTCCGTTCATCCGGAGAGGCCCTGCTCGCGATCCCACCTGTGTCGCAGGCTCGTTTGGTGGGGACGAGGGACAGGACCTTCTCTGTGGTGGCCCCCCAACTCTGGAACACCCTCCCCAAGGATATTAGACAGGCCCCTACATTGGCAGTCTTTAGGAAGAACTTGAAGACCTGGCTTCATTGGCCCGGCCCTGGTTTTATTGTGTAATAGTGTAATGTTTTGTTATTGCTTAATTCAACCCACCCATGACGCCGTCGCCTTCTTCCTTCCCATTCACTCATCCTTCTTCACTCATAGTCCATTCATTCACTCATCAATACTCACCATCCTTCTTTACTCCTATAGTCAATTCATTCACTCATCCTTCTTTACTCATAGTCCATTCATTCACTCATCAATACTCATCATCCTTCTTCATCCATAGTCCATTCATTCACTCATTCATACTTACTATCCTTCCTTACTCCTAATCCATCCATTCATTCATTCACTCGTTCACACTTACTATCTTCACTCCTAACCCATCCATTCACTCATTCATACTCACCATCCTTTTTCATCTATAGTCAATTCATTTACTCATTCATACTCACCATCCTTCTTCACTTACTCCATTC